CCTCCAAATCCACCCCAGTTTCCTTCTGCCTTAGGTTCCAAAGACACAGCTGGGAGTGGAGGAGCTCAGCCACTTACAGAAAATAGAATCCTAACTTTAATTGCCCTCTGTGGACAAGTACTGGGCAAATAATTCTGAGACAGATTTCAAAAAGAAAATGTCATAGTTCCCAGAGTGTTCCCTTTCCTTCCATTCCTTCTCTCCCTTCTTCTTTTCCTCCTTTTATTCATTTAACACAATTTATTTTATTACTTCTATGTATTTATTTTTATTGTTGAAAGTCCCCCTTTTTTCCCCATTGACCCCCTCCTTCCCATTCCCACCCTGCTCCTGCCGTCCCCAGGCTAATGTCCCTGTCAATTGGTTGTGCATATATGCATATAAGTTCTTTGGTTTATCTCTTCTCACCCCTCCCAACCCCCCAGCCCTTTGAAGTTCATCAGTCTGTTCCCTGCTTCCATGATTCTGGATCTCTTTTGGTCAACAGCTTATTTTGTTCATTATGTTCCACAAATAAATATGATCATGTGGTACTTGTCTTTCTCTAACTGGCTTATTTCGTTTAGCATAATATTCTCCCCATCCCTCCATGTTGTCTCAAAGGATAAGCGATCTCACTTTCTCACAGCTGCATAGTACTCCATTGTGTATATGTACCACAGCTTTCTTTATCCACTCATCTACTGATGGACACTTGGGCAGTTTCCAGATCTTAGCTATTGTAAATAGTGCTGCTATGAACATAAGGGTTCTTCCTGACTGGTGTTTCAGGCTTCTTAGGATATATTCCAAGAAGTGGGATCACTGGGTCAAATGGCAGTTCCATTTTTAATTTTTTGAGGAAACACCATATTGTTTTCCATAGTGGCTGCACCAGTCTGCATTCCCACCAGCAGTGTGCTAGAGTCCCCTTTTCTCCACATTCTCACCAGCATTTGTTGTTTGATGATTTGTTGATGGCAGCCATTTGGGCAGGTGTGAGGTGATACCTCATAATCGTTTTAATATGCATCTCTCTGATGATTAGAGATGGTGAGCATTTCTTCATATGTCTCCAGGCCATTTGTATGTCCTGTTTGGAGAGGTGTCTATTCAGGTCCTCTGCCCATTTTTTAATTGTCATGTAACAAAATTTATTGAGTACTTATGGTACGCCAGGCCCTTGGCTAAGTACTGAGGATATGAAGTTAAAGAAAACCTACTTCTTATCCCTAAGGACCTGACAGTGTGGTGCTAAGTGTCACAATCCAGAATGAGGAGATGCTGCTGCCCAGGGAGAGCCAGACCCACAGAAGAGAAGGGTTTAATCCAGAGCTGAAAGAACAAGAAAAAGAGATGGAGCACCAAGGGAGGCTTCCTGGAGGAGGGGGCATGAAATTCAATGTTGAAAGATGAGTGAGATTATATATAATTCTGGAAAGATGACTAAGAATGGGTCTGCTTCTAACCACTGACATCTAACCACTGTGTCAGGTCCCCTAGGTTAGAAGTCCCCCCTAGACGAGGGGGACAAGAATGGAGCCACTTGGGCATATGAAAGACAGAAAGAGTCTCTAGAACCCATAAAAGAAAACCAATATTCATGTCCTTCCTCACTGGCCATCTCCAACGCCTCTTTTTAAGAGTATTCTGAGCCGACTCCTTTCTTGGACTGGTAACATTTGAGAGGGACTATCTGGCCAGCAGACATTGGGTTTGTCTGTTTGTGACCTCAATGCCCCTGCAAGCTGTTGGAGTCTGGTGGGTAAGCAGGTGGCACTTTGTTCACCGAGCACGTATCATGCACCTCCTCTGTGCCAACCTCCATCCTAGGCTGCAGGACCCACGTAGGAGCGAACCAGCCCTCAGCCCTGAGACCTGCTCATCATATGCAATTTGGACGACCTCAGGTAAAACAAAGTCCCACAAACATGCCCTCACTCACCAGAAGCCATTTAAGTTTTCTTTAAAATAAAAATTTTTTTAAAAAGCTATTGATTACTCCTTTCTCTTCTTTTGCAAAAATTTCTTCTCAAGAACTGAAATAAGTGTTTCTGCTTACTTGCTAAAGTATGCAATCTTTTTTTTTTTTTTTTTTATCTTTACCTGAGGACATTTTTCCATTTTTGTTCAGATAGAGTAGGAGGGAGAGAGAGGAAGAGAGAGAGAGAAACATGGACGTGAAAGGGACACACTGAGTGGCTATCTCCCGCACAACCCCAACCAGGGCCGGGGACGAACCGCAATCGAGGTATGTGTTCTTAGCAGGAACCGAACCTGGGTCTCTCCGGACTGTGGGCCAACGCTCTAACTGCTGAGCCAAACAGGTCAGGGCTCAAGTATGCAGTCTTAATGAATTGTTTTCTTCCTGTGGTGCTTTTGTTAAGAAAAATGAGAAGAGTGCCCTTTTCCTTTCTCCTAATGACGCAGCAGAGGACAATTTTTACTTGACACTCCTCCCCTCCCCCACCGCTCTTTCCTCTCCCCACCCCTTCCCAAACCAATCTGGCATTTTTCCACTTGCCACCATCAGGTTCAAAGTGAGTCGCCGTGATGCGAAAACCAGGTCGTGGCTGGAACACACCACTACGCCATTTGCTATACCATTCTAGGTTTCACTTTTTCAGCAGTAATACCTGGGCATGGTGGGAAGGAATCAAGCAGATCTGAGTTCAAGTCCCAGCCCCAGCACTTACCACTCACGTGACCTTGGGTGGGTCACTTAACCTCTCTGACCCTTTTTCCTGCCCTGTAAACTTGAGCTGAACCACCAAGCCCAGTCATTGACTTTTTCAGATTGGAAGGCATGGTGACAAAGCTGTTCACCACAGGAGAGGGAGGGCCATCGTGAAAATATCCTGCAAGTAAAGAAACACAGCAAAAAGTCTGTCATCCAGACAATCAGGTCACTGCTGGAATCATTTGCGAAACTGCCTTCACAGTCCTGGTTCCCCTGGGGTTCGGTCAATGTGTCTTCCCTCCTCATTCACCTTCCCCAGTGAGGCCAAGGTCAGGGACAATCTGGAAGGCTTTAGCACAGACATTCTGGGATTTTTCAGGACAGCCCTGATTTCTTTTCAAATAGTTTCTGCAGAGAGCCTCAAACAAAATCGAAATGATTGAGCAATTCAACAGTTCAGCATCATCCAGCGATCCTCGGAATACAAGGACAGGAAGCTAGCACAGGTGTGCCTTGTGCCAGCATTAGTCCTGTGTTTGTTTCTAAAATCCTATTCAGGTTTTAGCTGTGAGGTCTGTAGGGGGACAAAACAGGAGAATGAGGTTGGGTCCATACAGCCCAGCTCACTGGTGAAAAACAGTTCTGCTCGGGGCGTCAACACCTGGCTGCTGCGTAGTCCGCTGAAGATTCTTTGGGCTCTGCAGTCAGGCTGTGTTCAATTGCTTGGCAATAACAGCTTCCCTGTCCTGATTACCTGATGAGCATCTGGGCCGCTCAGAGACCACTTTCCATATATGGTTTTGATCGATTTTCGTCACAATCCCTCAAGGTAGGACTTTTTCTTTTTCAGACTGCAAGGGATGGAGACCAATGCTGTTCACACCAGGCCTGGGAGGGCTATTTGATGGAAAGACACACTAGAAAAAAGAAACACTGGGAATCTGTGGGTTTCAGATTCGGGACCTTAAGGGTAACAGGGGTGTTGTTGGGGATCCCACAGCAGCAGACGTGCCTGAGTTGAGTCCCACCCCAGAGGTCCTGCCCAAGGCATGACTCGGTTTACCCAGGTCTCTGCCGTGCCTGCAGCTGTCCTCTTGCCCCCGCCCTCTCTGTCTTTCTTCACCCACCTTCTCTGCCTCATGGCTTCTGCTTACTCGCAGTTTTCCTTGCTGTCCTATCCCTGACAGACCCTCAGCCCTGGGAGTCCCTTCGTGTGTCTCTCCTCAGCCATTCTCCAGTACAGTGGGGGTGGTCCTTCTCCAGGGCTCCCACCGGGTTGCCCGGGAGGCTCCCAAGCTCAGTCAGTGGTGGGATCGCTTGTGCAGAACCAGGTCCCCCATGCTCAAGAAATGTAGGGGCTTCTGGTCTCCATGCAGCCGCGCAACACCACAGCCTTCAGGTGCTGGCCCTTGTCTAGATGAGGAAATGACTCCTGGGGAGCTTCAGTATTATCGAGAGGCAGAGGAAGGATCCAACGCGGCCCTGCTACCTCTAAACCTCATCACAACCCTCTGCTTCCTGTTACTGTTCACCCATGCAGGTCAGGATCGGAGGGAACAGGGGCCTCCATCGAAAGACCCCTCAACCCCAAAGCATTCCCCTCACCTCCCAGCACTGGCCAAGACTTGCAAGTCCCCCTGTGTTAAATAGTGAGGACTCTGGTCTCCCTGAGGTCCCAGTGAACTAGCCATTGGCATAGTGGCCAGGTGAGGCCTGTGATAGTGTGAGATGAGGCCCAGGCTCATGCTCCAAGGCTGAGAGCTAAGGAAATGGAGGACGAGCAGAAAAGATGGCCTCAGGTGGCTGAAGGCCAGAGAAGGCAGTGGGTAACAAGGGACATGGAAAGTGTCCACTTTAACCTACCACCTAGGGGCCCCCAATATGTAGCTGATTAGATTTCTGAGCCCCAAAATGGAGCATGTGCTCAAACATATCACGTTTAGGCAATGAGACAAAAGATTCAAAATCATTACTGCCGTGGAAAATCCAAGACCTCTTGTGGTGTTCAGGTTGGGGGTGTGTGGTTGTGTCAAGCTTCATCTGGGAGCTCCAGTCAACCACAGGTGGCTGGGGCCCAGGAAGGAGGTGGTTCTTGCAAAGAGATAAAGACCGCCCTGTGAGAGGCACTATCCCCAGAGCAACCAGCCCCAACTGCTTCTTAGTTCCTGTGGTAAACTCATGAAGATCAAGGGACAAGGGACCTGTTACCTCCTCCTTTCCCTCCGCCCCTTGTCTTCATCCTGTGTCCCCTCAGCCACTGAAGTTCTGACAGGCCCTGGTTTATCCTCTCTTCCCAGCTATTGCGCCTATTTTGCAGGTGGAGAAATGGAGGCCTTAGGAAAGTAAGGGCACTTTCCAAGATCACCGAGCAAATCTGCAAGCTGAAGTAGGTTAGCCCAAGTTTCTACCGCTGAAGACTCAGTCTGTTCGTCCTGTCTATCCCCAGGAAGGTATTGTGCCACGTGTCCAGCACTGGACGCCATGGGAAAAAGCTACAACCATCAGCTTGTTGGCATATTTTCTTCAGGACTCTGACATTCCTTAGGGGTGGAATAAGACTGCAAGGGCCTCAGGCTGAGGACTTGTTCTGAGGCCTCTGTCCCAGCGGCCTCATTTGCAGCTATTTTTCAAATTCACCAAGAAGCCATCCATTCCTACGGTTCTTTTCCTCCCCACGTGTCCTAGGACTTTCGCCAGGTATATAAAGAGCTTGGGGAGCCCGGACTGGTTTTGCTCAGTGGTTAGCGTGTCGACCTGCAGACCAATGTGTCTCGGGTTCAATTCTGGCCAAAGACACATACGTCGGTTGTGATTTGTCCCGGCCCTGGTTGGGGTCCTGTGGTAAGCAACCAGTCGATGTGTCCTCACATCAATGTTTCTCTCTCTCTCCCTTTCTCCCTCTATCTCCCTCCCATTCTATCTGCAGATAAATGGAAAAATATCCTCCGGTGAGGATTAAAAAAAAAAAGAGCTTGGGGAAGGCTGTCCTTCCACTTCCTCAGGGAAATGATGGGAGACCTTTGGACCTGAGCTCCCCCCTGCAGCCTTGCAGCCAAGCTTTCCTAGAGAGGTGACGGGTGTTTGGGGCTAGGTTGGTCTTTTGCACTATTATCCTTTTCCAAGTTCTCAAGATCCCTGTCCAGACTAGTTTCTTGACTCATTCAAACAGTTGACTCAATCATCAGCATATCCCTAAAATGAGTTATGAGATTTCTTCAAAATTATGGCCTTTACGTTTTTATAATTCTGGGTTTCCAAGATGATGCTGGTTCCTTCTGAGTCTCTTCCGTGAACAACGCTGGTACTTTGGAAAAAGTGCAAAAGGAGTGTAAGCGGCGGTGGACAGAGGTGTCTCTGCACGCCCGATCTATACAATCAGCATTGCGGCCCCAGGAGCTCCAAGGAGAGGGATTCTGAGGCCATGACACAGCTCAGAGGGAAAAAAGTGATGTGGTTGGCTCCCTATGTCTGCCCTGGGAATGGGAGAGAAATGGGGAATGGAAGCTCTTCCTACAACCCTGAACATGAGAGGCCAGGCCTTCGAGGAACTTGATTTCTTTGCTAAAGAACTTCAGTCCCTTTAACTATCACCTGTTCAACCCCCCAGAAGCAACAAGCACCCCTCTCAGAAATGTGAATTCTATTCTTCTGGACAATTTTAAATATTTGTACATACCAACCTGTGTACACGTAGACATTTCTTGACCCTTTTCATCCCTTTATTTTCAGGATCTAATAGTGATTCTCTACTTCTAATCAGCTCAAACCTGACCCTTCCTTTGCCAACCACTTCTCCTAAGTCATTTTCCCCCTACTCCATAGCCTCCCCTCACATTCCCTGGCCCCTTCCCCCCAAATATGCTGCCTCTTTTTTCTTTCAGAATAAATCTTATAATCTTCTTTAAAAAAAATTTTTTTTTCTTTATTGATTTTAGAGAGAAAGGAAGGAAAAGGAAGAGAGAGATAGAAACATTGATGAGAGAGCACATCGATTGGCTGCCTCCTGCATGCCCGCCGCTGGGGATTTGGCCCACAACCTGACGGGAATCGAACCAGTGACCTCTTGGTGCGTGACGCTCAACCACTGAGCCACACCGGCCAGGCTAAATCTTATACTTTTCTATCTTCCCTTTCTCCAAGTCCACTCCACAGAATTTCCCCCTTATTCTGAGCTCCCCTAATGCTGATACATAAAACCTGGCCTATCTGACTATAGACTTGTAAGTTGAATATTTCCATTTCATTAAATAATTTCAATGACTTAGAGAATGACTGAAAGGAGAAGCCAGATCTTCTTATATCCATCATACTCTACAAGACAGAGCCGGGCTGAACAATTGCTTAAAGAGTAAATAAAATCCTTCTGTAGGGTTTTCCCTTTGTCATGTGTCAGGGGCTGTAACTATCCCCCTTCTTCTCTACTGTAGAGGAGATTCTTAACTTGGAGTCTACAAAAGCATTTGTCAATAGAACCAAATTTCGATTGAAATTTTTTGTAATCTTATATATTTTATTTTACTCATTTAAAAACATTATTCTGAGAAGGGGTCCATAGGCTTAACTTGACTGCCAAAGGAGTTCATGGCACCCCCCCCCCCCAAAAAAAAACGCTAAAAATTCCTGTGATCCTGATGTTTAGCTGTCCATGTTGTTGCCTAGAATAGAGATCACACTTTTTAGCTTGTTCTGACAAATATAGTGTTAGAGAAATAAATGGTGCTTACAACTTCCTGAGAGTCCTTAAGAAGAGGGAATATGCCCTAGCGGATGTGGCTCGGTGGTTGGAGCGTTGGCCCGTGTACCAAAGGGTCGTAGGTTTGATTCCTGGTCAAAGGCACATACCTGGATTGCAGGTTTGATCCCTAGCCCCGGGGGCACTTGCAGAAGGCAACCGGTTGATGTGTCTCTCTCACATCGATGTTTCTTTCTCTCTCTTTCCCTCCCTTCCACTCTATTTTAAATCAAGGGGAAAATATCATCAGATGAGGATGAACAAAACAAAACAAAACAAGAGAAAGAATACGTCTTTCTTTCTTCTCTCTGCTTCCCAGATTGGAGACATAATGACTGTGCCTTGGGAATGGAAGGCACAGATGACAGTACAATAAGATAGAAGTCCTGACTCCCTGACAGAGGGGATGGCTGCACCAACCTTAGACTGACTACCTCCCGAAGGAAGTAAACTTCTGGTTAACTTTAAGCTACTGTTTTTCTGGGCTTCTGTTACTTGCCACCAGGTCTAAACCAAACTAATGTAGCAAACCTTGCTCAAGATAAATTGAAAATGATGTTGTTTACCTAAAGAATTTCCAGAAATCATCTCTCATTCTAGAGAAAGAATCATTTCAAACCTAGACGGTGACTCTTTTAGTGCCTAACCTTATACCTAGTATTTAAACAAAAGTGAATTGTGTGGGAACATATTTTTTTCAGAGTTTCCGTTTTTCAGAGTATTGACTAATAAACTTGATAACTTTTGGAAACTCTCATTTTTCAACCACTTTTTTAGTCTACTTTGGTCTCCCCTAGAGAGCATTCAGAGTAGCCTGGCTTACCCTGGCCAGTTTGGCTCAGTGGTTAGAGTGTTGGCCCGCAGACCAGAGACTCCCGGGCATGTACCTTGGTTGCAATTTTTCCCTGGCCCTGGTTGGGGTCGTGTAGGTGGCAACCACATGATGTGTCTCTCTCACACTGATGTTTCTCTGTCTCTCCCCCCACCCCCGACTCTATCTGAAGATAAATGCAAAAATGTCCTTGGGCGAGGATAAAAAAAAAAAAAAGAGTAGCCTGGCTTTGTGCTCATCAACTCTTAATTTGTGACAGATTCTCTTTTAAGAATGCATCTGAAGAATTTAAGAAACCAAAAGTAAGGGCTCTTCTGTCATGTACATTCTATTATTGATAGATTCAGAATACATGTATGATACAATAACTATCAACAATACATGTTTTTTAGGATGCCGTGGTTACTGAGAAGTATCGAATAGCAGTGCCTGTCCTCAAAAAGATTATGATATAATTGGGGCAAAATACATAAAAAGGTAAGTAGCAGACAACACATGCCATAAAAATTATGCAATCAGCAAGTGATAAGGTGACTCAGAAGAGGGAGCAACTATGGTCCTTGGAAGAAGGACAGGGTTCTGATTCAAAAAGGAGGAATGCCCTGGCCGGTTTGGCTCAGCGGTTAGAGCGTTGGCCTGTGGTCCAGAGAGGCCCGGGTTCGGTTCCCGCTAAGGGCATGTACCTCGGTTGCAGTTTGTCCCCGGCCCTGGTTGGTCATGCGGGTGGCAGCCACTCGATGTGTCCCTTTCACATCGATGTTTCCCTCTCTCTCTCTTCCTCTCTCTCCCTCCCACTCAGTCTGTACAAAAAATGGAAAAATGTCCTCGGATGAGGATTAAAAAAAAAAAAAAAAGGAGGAATGACAGTGAAGACCAGAAAAAGGAAGGAAACGGGTGGATCAGTTGGCTGGAACAGAAACCTGACCGAAACAGCATCTCTAAATGGCCCTTCCTAACATCTTTCCATATAGCTGTGTTTTCATATAGTTTGGTGAATGCTTCTAGTATCACAGGAGGGTGATGGTCACTATGAACACACTCAGGGCAGGGGGGGGGGCATTCTCGTTTTTACAAGCCCCACGGTACATGGACTTCTAAAGTTTTAATGAATGAATATAATGTTTTATGAGTGTATATGCTACATCTTTAAATGAACCATCACCACCTAATTTTTTTCTTTAAATTTACATAAATTATGTTTATTGTAGAATTATTTAAAAATACATAGGACCCTGGCCAGTTTTCTCTCAGTGGTTAGAGCCCGGCCTACGGACCAAAGGGTTGCAGGTTTGATTCCTGCTCAACGGCACATACCTGGGTGGCAGGTTTGATCCCCAGCCCCAATTGTGGCATGTGAGTGAGGCAACCAATCAGTGTGTCTCTCTCACATTGATGTTTCTCTCCCTCCCTCCCTTCCACTCTATCTAGAAAGTCAATGGAGAAATGTCCTCAGGTGAGGATTTTTTTTTTTTAAAAAGAAAAGAAATAAAATAGGTCAACATAAAAGAGAATATTAAAACTCCCATCTGTAATTCTACCATCCAAAGGTAAGATCTAACCACTGTTAACATTTCCATTTCCACCCTCACATAGTCACACTAGAAACTTGGCCTGGAAACTTGGGTCTCATTTCTCCGGAATGGCTGTGCCCGTATTTGGAGAATGTGGTGAATATACAAACATTTCAGTGTCCTGACTGAAGCTGCCATGAGCGTGGTCCCAGAAGCAGAGGTGGGCAGCCCGCAGGAAAGTTAGCCACGTTCTGATGCAGGCCTTTGTTGCATCGAAGAGCGATGACCACAAGAACAGTTATTGTGTTGCAGGTGCCTGGAGGGTTTTGAGTGAAGACAATGGACGAGACCTCCTCAGAATTTAAATAACTCAGTGTTCACAGGCAGCCACTGCTGAGTTCCATTGTGAAATGCTACCATTTAATTAGCTCTCTGAATTTAAACGTATTACAGTCACGCACCACATGACAACCTTTTGGTCAGTAACGAACTGCACATTTCATGGTGGTCCCATAAGATTATAATGGAGCTGAGAATTTTCTATTGCCATCATAGCCGTCGTAATGTCATTGTGCAACGCATAACTCACGTGCGTGGTGATGCTGGTGTAAGCAAACCTACTGCTCTGCCAGGCATGTAGAAGTACAGCACATACAATTATGTATGTACATGATGCTTGATAATAAACAACCAGGTTACTGGTTTATGCATTTACTCTGCTATACTTTTTACCATTATTTTAGAGTGTTCCCGCCCTGGCCGGTTTGGCTCAGCGGTTAGAGCATCCGCCTGCAGTCCGGAGAGACCCGGGTTCGGTTCCCGCTAAGGGCATGTACCTTGGTTCCAGTTTGTCCCCGGCCCTGGTTGGTCGTGCGGGTGGCAGCCACTCGATGTGTCCCTTTCACGTCGATGTTTCCCTCTCTCTCTCTCTTCTGCTCTCTCCCTCCCACTCTATCTGTGTAAAAAATGGAAAAATGTCCTTGGGTGAGGATTAAAAAAAAAAAAAATAGAGTGTTCCCTCCCTCCCTTCCTTCCTTCCTCCCTCCCTCCCTCCCTCCCTCCCTCCCTTCCTTCCTTCCTTCTTTCCTTCCTTCCTTCCCTCTCTTCCCCCTCCCTCTCTCTCTCTCTTTCTTTCTTTTTTGTTAATCCTTACCCGAGGATACTTTTAGAGAGAGTGGAAGGGAGGGAGGAAGCGGAGAGAGAGAAAGAGAAACATCGATGTGAGAGAGACACATCAATGGGTTGCCTTCCTCACACCCCAGCTAGGGCCGGGGATGGAACCTGCAACCCAGGTACGTACCTTTGACCAGGAATCAAACCCGTGGCCCTTTGGTCCAGGGGTCAACACTCTAACCACTGAGCCACACCGGCCAGGGCAGAGTGTGCTTTTTCTACTTAATATTTTTAGGAAGTCTGCCGTAAACAGTGCGCCGTGTTACACCAGCAGCTTCATACCTCCTCTGGTTACCGCGCGTCCTGATTGCATCATTTTCTCTTGTGCTTGATTTAACCTCGTGTTGTTTTATAAATTTAGTGTAGCCTAAGTGTACAGTGTTTATAAAGCCGACAGTAGTGTACAGTAACACCCCAGGCCTTCACGTTCACTCACCACTCACTCACTGACTCACCCAGAGTGACTTCCAGTCCTGCAAGCTCCATTCATGGCAGTGCCCTACACAGGCGGACCATTTTTTAAATCTTTTATACTGTATTTTTATTGTACCTTTTCTTTGTTTAGATACACAAGCACTTACCATTGTGTCACAGTTGCCTACAGTACTTAGCACAGTAGCATGCCGTGTGGCTCGTGGCCCAGGAGCAGTAGGCTACACCACAGAGCCTAGAAGCGCAGTACGCCAGACGCTCTGATGTTCGCGCAACGACGAAATCTTCCAAGAGTGCATTTCTCAGAACGTATCCACTTCGTAAAGCAGCGCATAACTGCATTGAGGTGAAATTCACGTAACATAAAATTAGCCATTTTATTTTATTTTTTAAATGTTTTTATTGATTTCTTTAGAGAGAGAGGAAGGGAGAAACATCGATGTGAGAGAGAGACATGGATCGGCTGCCTCCTGCACGCCCCCTACTGGGGATCAAGGCTGCAACCTGGGCATGTACCCTGACAAGGAATCCAACCAGGACCTCTCAGACCACGGGAAGACACTGAATCCACTGAGCCACACCAGCTGGGCAAAATTAGCCATTTTAAAGTGTACAGTTCAGGAGTGTTTAGTAATTCACGATGCCGTGCAACCACCACCTCTATCTAGTCCCAAAATGTTTCCATCACTTCAAAGTAAAACTCCAAATCCATTAAGCAGTTTCTCCCCATCCCCTCTTCTCTCCCAGCCCCTGGCAACCACCAATATTTCTTATGTATCTATGGATTTATCTCTTCTGAATATTTTATGTAAATGGAATCAAACGACGTGTGACCTTTCGCGTCTGGCTTTTTTCACTTAGCATAATGTCTTCCAAAATTCATCCACACTGTGGTGTGTATTAGTACTTCCTTTTGATGGCTGAAAAATAGTGTATCTATGTATGTAACACAATTTATTTATCCAGTCATGTGTTGATGGGCCCTTAGGCTGTTCCCTTTACTTTTAGCAAGGTCTCTGTAAAAGGAACTATTTGCAGATCTAGAAATCTACAGGCAGGGTCTCATAGACAAGGGGCGAGTTTCATGTAGGGTCACCATGTCAGCCCACATCACCTGCAGTTTGAGTGTCTAGTGTCTTCAAGTGCCCCTGGGCTATAAGTGGTAGGACTCAGAAAAACTCATTATAATGGTACCCACATTTGCAACCCAACTTCACAACAACTATATGAGACAATCAGGACAGAAAAGCTTATCCCCGTTTTACAGCTGAGGAACCTGAATTACAGAGACTAGTCGTCAAACCACCTGGCTGGAAAGTGTTGAGAGTCAGGGTACACGCCACGCCATCTAACCAGATCTAGCCCCCGCGTCCTTTAAACTCCGTTCACAATAACCACAATGAAAGACAGAGACCTAGGTGGGAGGGATATTTGAGTGTCAGGAATATATCTGGTGGTGAATATATGGAAGCGAACAATTGTAAGTCTGTAGGAGCCGGAATGAGACTGGTACACAAGGAGGGAGAATGCTTTTCTTTACCCAAACACTCCATCTTCATTGTTCTCCCTACTGCCCACACACGAAAGCATGTGGCCAGGAATTCACATTTCGTCTCTGTGGATCCTGCTTCCTGAAAACCTTGGAAGGTGGCATCCTGGACATGGTGGGCACAGGGTGGGCAGAGAACGTTTGGAATGGGAGGCAGGCAGCATACCGCCTTCTTACACACATAGGTGCTTAGGCAATGTTTGTGGAATGAATGAATGAATGAACAAATGAATATTGTTCAAAGCACTTTTTTTTTTTTATCCTCACCCGAAGACATTTTTTTCATTTTTTGTACAGACAGAGTGGGAGGGAGAGAGAGGAAGAGAGAGAGAGGGAAACATCGATGTGAAAGGGACACATCGAGTGGCTGCCACCCGCACGACCAACCAGGGCCGGGGACAAACTGCAACCAAGGTACATGCCCTTAGCGGGAACCGAACCCGGGTCTCTCCGAACCGCAGGCGGGCGCTCTAACCGCTGAGCCAAACCGGCCAGGGCTCAAAGCACTTTTGAATCCTTTGCAACTCTTTCTGCCAGGCTGTTCATTCTTTTTGCACTGAAAACGAAAGCAAAAATCTCTACTGAACAGTGGCTGTCAATAGACCCTGTGCCTCTCACCCTTTTGTAGGAGAGGACGGACTGCAGAGCTTCCTTATGCGCGGGAGTTAGGGTGGAGGCTAGACTGCTGTAGCGAAGTCCCCAAGATGTCAGTGGCTTAAAGAATCAATGTGTTTTAACCTCTCTCCTGTACAGTTTCAGGTGAGCCTTCCAGCCAGTGGACACCTGGTCACTCAGAGACCCAGCCTCCTTCCAAGTCACTGTTCTGTAACATTGTTCTCATCTGCTTGCCAAAGCTTGGCTGTTGCAAGTTCCAACTGTGTTCCAGCTGGTGAAAAGAGAGGAAAAGCATGGAGGAAGAATACTTATTCTCTAATAAGTAGGGGTTACGCATGTCACTTCTGCTCAAATCCTATTGATAGAAACTTCATCACATGAGCATCCTAGCTGCAGGAGAGGCAGGAAACGTCGTTTGGCTCAGCACCCTGGAAGAAAGGAAAAATAGAGTTTCATTCTCCACAACCCGCATGTGCTTTCAGTTTGTTTCTAGAAGGCAGCACAGAAGGCTCCGCTCCGCTCCCAGATACAAGTCCTCTCTTCTTGGCTGGAAGCTTTTTCCTGGCCTTTCCACATTCCCATGGAAGGGAGTCAACTTTGAAGGATGCAGATGAGCTCGCTCTTGGGAAGAAGACCCCCTAGGTCTGGGAAGGAACATTGAGAGTGATGAAAGCAAACATGGTCTGAGTGCAATAAATACTCAACCCACACAGCTTGTCTCCTCTGACACTTAAAAAAAAAAAGTAAACTTTATACAAGATGCTCTCCACACAGTGGGCAATAAATGCATGAAGTTTTTAGAAAAGTTTCTGACAATACAGGGATTCATATAACTTCCAACTTGACTTCAGGGACGATATCAATGCCCCCCAACACACACACATACTCACAATTCACATACATGCTCACGCTCACTCACCCATCACACATTTACACCGGCCCACACACATACATGCAAGCATACACTCCCACCACCTAACACCTCCCTTGGGGGTGGGCCCTATTAACAACTAAAGAAGGAGGCTGACCCAGCCCCTGTCTAGGCACCTGTGAAGGACCTTGAATCAAGCCCCGAACACACAAGGACAAGGTGGCCTGAGACCTGGTCTTCATCATGTCACAGCCACCTGCAATAAACTGTTCTGCTGTCTTTGTCCCTGAGCCCAAACCAGTGGTCTCATGGATCTCCCTCTCAGTCTTAAAACACAAGAGCTCTCTCCTGGGTACTCATAACAACACCAGTCAGGCTTTAGGGAAGAAAAACTGGCAAGTGCGGAATGAAACCCATCGATGGCCTTCTTCACACTTTGGAGGCTCTCAGGACTCGTGCCATCTCCTGCCTCTGGAACAGACATGACCGGAACAGCCTCCCCTGCATTGTGATGGGGGCTCCAGAGACCCTAAGGACACAGAGCTCCTTCAGACTTCATGTCCCACCGAGCAAGGTTCCATTTCCCATCCGGTTCTCCTCCAGAAGCTCAGCTGCTCAGACAGTGGAAATTTTGATTCCATTTCCAGCAGCTTCCTGTGCAGCGCATCCCTAAGAAGGGGCTATGGAGTATCTCAACCATGTCAAGATGTGAAATAACTTTTTATGCAAGCAAAAGGCCAAAAACTCTCGGGCTGGGGGTGGGGTGGAGGGAGAGGAGAGGGAAATGAAAAGTTCGTGGCTGACATATTGCAGACTGAAGAAATATCAGCTGCTCTTTTCAAGCCCTAAGAATAAAAACTCCCCGAAAGGCCGCACTCTTCTTCCCTATTATGGAGATGTGGTTTGGGCTCAGCAAGTCTGTTTCCAATAAACAGAGGTGGGCAGCCACTTTCTCTTTTCCTTTGGGAGTCAAACGGGCTCTGCTTATGGCCCTAGGAACCCTCCCTACCATGCATTACACTTTGTTTACATTTATTAAACCCCATGAGTTTTTACTTCTGATTTTAGGGCCCAGCCCCTTATTTGGCTTTGGAAGAGTTTGCTTTCCCTGCTTGCTCTCAGCTCTCCTATTGTGCTGGCCCAAGAAGGGGGATGTAAACAAGGGGACAAAAGACTTGAGTACTAAAGCCGTGACATGGGGCCAGCACATGGATTGTGCACCTCTGTCCTTGTATTATTAGGCACAATTGCATACGTGAGCACAGCTGACTATTCTTTCTTTGGTGACAAGGGGCCTTTGGAGCCTCCGGGTTTGTGCTGTTAGCTGTTGCTAATGTCCAGAGGCAGGGGGGTAATAATGGGAGACGTGTGGTTAGCTCTGTGCCCCAGGACAAGCATTCAACCTCTCTGAGCCTCAGTTTCTTCACCTGCAAATTCAGACTAAGAACACTGCCAAAAGTGGAGGGCCAGTGGAATGTGGAATGTGGAGAGAGTAACCAGGGGGAAGCTGGTTGGGCAGCCAGCAGGAGGCCTCCTGGGGTCAGAGTTAACTTAGCAAGTTCACCACAGGTCAGATTCAATGGTGTAGGCTCAGGAATCTAATGTCACTCGCCAGGAAGGGCCAGTTAACACTAACCTGGCTGCAGGTTCCAATTTGAGTGCCCTGTTGCTGATTCAAAGTGAGAAATATGGTCACTAGGAAGAGTCACCAGGGAAGGTATAATTACTCAGACAGCAGGTGCATAGAACATTCGAGAACTGTCACTGTCAACCGTAGCTGACCCAAAGTCCCTCTTTCTAACAGTTTGTATCTCCTGGAATAGAATTAGTGCATACTATAACCTACATGAATACATATATTTTTAAAGCACAATAGATGTCCCACAGAGGAAGAAAAAAGGAACATATTTATAATAAAACAATATATAATTTAATTTGTGAATGTTTGAGGGGGAGATCTTAGCATTTGTACTTAGCATTCCCATAAATGTGACCGTGACAAACACAGGCTGATAAGACATGTTGATTTGGCGACTCAAATATGACTGGTAACTTAGCCGTAATTGATGTGATTTTCTGAAATGGGGATTGACTTTCAGTAAGGTTCTGAATGAACTAAAGCACAGTCTTCCCTGGAAAATCTTGTATATTCTAACACTGTGGAAAAAGCCCTTGGGTTGGTACATAAAATGGAATTGGGTGTTCTAGGCTCAATGAATTATAATCAGGTGTGTTAGCTGCTCCGGGTCCC